AGATGCAAAAAACAGCGGCCAGTAGGCTCACCTCTATCCAACCCCATCACAAGAACCAGACAAGAGGCAACAGGATCCAGGAGATGCCCTGGGGTGGAACAGACAATAACCAACTGGAGCAGCCGCTGAAGAAACACTAAGGCAAGGTTTAAACTTCACTAGCCGACTAGTACGTTTACGGCGTTAATGACGGTGTGTCGGGGCAGGTGGAAGCGCTCCACGTAGCAAGTAAGAACATCAGCCAGGGGCGGTGGATACTCTGTTCTTTGTCCTTTCTGATTAGAGCTTTCAAAACTTATGGCAAAAATCTGAAGATCCAAAAGTTTGGGGGCATTCATACACCAGTTGTGAGTTGATTTGGTGGCAAGAACTGTCAGAAACAAAACAAACAATAACACAATTGACAGAAGCAGAAGGCAAGCCACACACACCGGTGCCATCTTGATTTTTTTTTTCTGTATTTTAATTTTTATTGCTACTTAGTTCAACAATTTCCCCGGAGATCCACCAGGGGGAGCAGCTCATCATTTCCTTGACTAGAAATCAAATGAATGCAGCACTAATCTACACAATCACAACAACAGCCGTTCTGTTTCAAAACGTTTTGAACTGTGTGGTTTTATCGCTCACAGGCAGCTGAGCTAAGCGTCTTGTTAACAGCTAACCAGCTCTGTTTGCTCTACTGACACATGAGGTCACGTCACTGTCAGATGTTTCATGAACACAGAATAAAAATGGAGAAGGAAAGAAGCTTTGTGTGTTTTCATTCTGCTGTACAAACCAACAGCTCATGTGAAACAAAACACACATCTGTACAATAAACAAACACTCACTGCTGAACCAGTTTGACCAGGATACTGACACACAGACACACACAGACACACACAGACAAACACAGACACACGCACAGACACCTTGTCCACAAACACAGCTGCTGAGGATTTGATAAATAATCAGGATATTATTTAAATAATAATCAATAATAATAATAAATAATTGGAAAATTTTTGTTTTACTTTATTTTGAAACTTGTTCTGAGCCACATTTCCCACACGGTCATATGAGCCTTTAAGTTTCCCAGAATGCACTGGTTTACCCTGGACTTGTTTCTGTTCCTCACAGATGGTTCAGTTTATTAAAACTTTGATAACAATTTTGTCTCTAGATTGTGACAGTTGTAGTGGGTGCTGCAAAAAAAAAATTTATTTGGTTACAGCTTTTGATAGAACTTAATTTTTTTTTAGTCATTGAAATTTTATAACTTGTGAAGTTCTGAGGGAACGAATCGTAAACGGTAAATGGTTCTTATGTAGCGCTTTGTATTCTGAGTAATGAATGACGTCCATGACACAGACGACAGCAGAAACAACTGCGGTGGTTTTAAACAGAGTAAGTGTTTTATTTACATTTTCCATTCATGTTGTCTGAGTATGTGATCAGACCTGCTGGATTTATGATCATTTTGTTTGTTTGTTTGTTTGTTTGCTTTTGTTTTCAAATGAAAAAATGCATTCACTCAAGAGAGTGGATATATTTTGAACAGTCACTCTCTCGGGGTTTAGTTTCTATTCCCCTATTGCATGTGAAGAATTAAGAAAAGAGCTGTTTTTGTAAATAACCGTGTTGTACAGGACATGTACATGATGTTTAAATACATGTGACATTTGAATTTTACTCATTAGAATAAGTTGATTTCAATTCACATACACTACACAGACAGGATGTTGTTTCTACACATCAACCTGTTTTACTGGGACAAGTTCACTTCCTGTTACTTTGTAAATGTACTTGTTTGTTAAATATGTATGTAAAGCTGGAGAAGACAGGACTGTGGTTTCCAAAATGTTGCTATGATCTTCAGTGGATTAACAGATTGGATACCAAAGGTAGGCAGAGTTCTCCAGAACAGCTGTGGTTTTATGGAGGCGACAGCTAATATTTTATTATGACGCACTTATATGTAGTTACCCAAACTTCTTCTTTCGTCAACACTTACGGGGAAGTCAACCAAGTAGCTCAAACACAGATGTCTTAATCAGTGACTTATTTAAATCTGAATTTAATCTTAGTCAGATTGAAACTCAACAACACACTCAGACATTTAGAAGACAGCAGATTATCACAACTAGATACCAGAGGAATGTTTGCTTTACTCTGATCAGTTTCTCTGTTTGTCTGTGTTTTTGTGTTTGTGTCTGTGGGCGAGATTTAACTGTTAGGAGTAGGAAGGTTTTATTTATGCCAGGTCCACAGAGGAAAAAAATCCATTTTTTAAAATCGTTTCTAGCCATAAACATACATTTTAACTTCATTATAAAAGAGTAATCATATAAAACATATACATAAAATATAGACTTCACCTGCATATAGTCTTTGTGCTCTGGGTCAAAGTAAAGGTGGAGTTACACATTATTACTCTGCTGTTTACAAAAGAACTTGCCTTTTGAGATATCTTTGGTATTTATTTATTTCTTTTAATACGTCTCCCTGGTCATGAATATAAACATCCACCAGGAGGTGCTGCAGCACCCTCAGCGTACCTGCTTCCCACAGCCTTGAGCTAAAATGTGTCCCTATTTAATTTCCACAGACTGAATAAAAAGAAATGACCCAAAATAATTTACTGACAAGAGGAAGACGATAAAATGTTTCCTACCTGATCTTCACTCACTGTCAGCACAGAGAAAGGAAGTTAATATTTACTCATTTCTCTTTGTTACATTTTAACTTCTCTTCAAATTTCATCAAATGCTGGATTTTAATTGATCATGTTCAAATATTTCCTCAGAGGAGGAAAAATAAACAGGAAACAAATCAACCTTTTACATTTAAGGAAGCTGGAGGTTTAGTTTCTGTTTGTTGTCTTTAGCAAACTTTCTCAGATGATCATTTCAAAGGAGTTACTGATCATTTAATTCATTCAAAGTAAACAATAAGAAACTCGTCAAGTATTTAGTTTACCATCAAAAAAAACACTAAACGGAAGAAAAATCAAAGTGGATCAAAATTAAACTTCAGTGAATTTGAAGGTGTGTCAGCTTTGACCTCTAAAATGATTTTACATCCAGAGCAGAACAAAACAACAGAAGAAAAATAATGGAGCTGCAAGTTCAAATAGAGCTGATGAATGTGCTGAACACCAACGAGGAAATCTGATATGATTCACACACAGACACATGATTTTACTGCTGAACCAGTCTGACCAGGATACTGACACACAGCTATTTACCATCAACACAGTGGTGCTGAGGATCAATAATTTCATCATTGAATAAATGACCTTGATTTATTGGTTTTAGATATGTTGCATTTGAAAAGAATATTTAAGGTTTGTAAAAAAAATTTTAAACAGGCTATGTCATGAGTTTTACTTTAGTAAATGTATTTAGTTACTGCAATAATCAGCTTCAATTTCCTTTTAAATGAACAGTTTATGCTGGATCTCTGTGTAATGTTAAAACAATTATAATAATAATACATGGACCTTGTTACTTTGAACTAATGATGTTAATATCCAGGATGTTTTTATTGTATTTGATTCTATTATATTCTAACAGACGGGCGGGTGGAGCTAACCACAGCTATGTTCGCTCTAACCGGAGCTTTAGCTGCACTGAAGTGAAATCATTTCACAGTCAGACAGAGCACGAGCACAAAACAAGAACAGGACAGGAAATAAAAGGTGGGGTTAGAATAAAAGCAGAAACAGTAACAGGCGCATCTGTTGTTTGTCAGTACATGTGAGCGACTCTCTGACAGGCTGTAACTTGTGCTGGACAGTCTCCTGTCCCACATGGTGAGACACTGAATTATCAGAGCACAGATCAAACATCCAGAGCACCTCTGCTTGTTCCTGTTCATCACAGACATGAACCTGCTGAAGTTTCCTCACATTATTATACATCATACTGATCCTCACACACTGACAGAAATCACGTTCTGTCTTCAGACTGTGACGGGTGGAGTGGGTTTCCAGCCCCCACCCGTGTGTACTTCAAGGACCTGAAAATATTTATTGTATTTCAGAGTTTCATTAAGTTATTTGACAGAAAGATCAGCTGACTGTGAGGGCTCAGAGTCAGCTGTGACTTTGTATTTGTGGTATTTGTTTGTCAAATATGTGAACTCACAGCTGATAGGTGGAGGAATGTGGTTGCTAAGGTGACGCTGTGGGCGTTGATGTCACAGATCTGAGGTGTGTCTGTATAAAAACAGCTGATAAGGAAATACAGCTCAGTTTGTTCTCTGGATGTTTAGTACAGAGGTCAATTTATTTTTATTTTATTTTATTGTACTTTTTCTTTTTGCTCTTTACATTTTTTAAATATTTTATTTATTTATTTATTTATTTTATTCCATCATGATGATCAGAAAAGACTTTGAGGATTACAGATTTCATCCAGAAAAAAAGTAAGTGTTTGACTATCTTGTACAAAGGTGGACAAAGTTCTCTGTGGTTTTTTGATCTACAGTAAACATAAGAGACAGAGTCAAGATTTATTCCAGCCTCCCAGTGAAATGCAGCAGGTTAGAAATGTCTGAGCTTTTTACGTGGTGATGCTGGGAAAGAGAAGCCTGTATCAGTAAAGCTTGTTTGTTTGTTGGTGTCTTTGTGTTTGTGAATGTAGGTAAAATTTAACTGTTAGAAAACAAACAGTGTTTGTTTGTGAAAAAGAGAATAAGCCTGATTTTCACGTCGATATCTCTCAAAGAAATGATTACATTACATTTCACCGCCTTAGTCATGACGCACTTATTCATGGTGATCATACAGCGCAGCGTACCAAATGTCACTTTAACGCGACTTCCTTAAGAGATATCAAAAGTGTGAAGTTTGAACGAGTGTCTGAAAAACAAATGTTTCAGCTTTATTTAAACCTCAAAGTTAACCTCATGTAGACAGTTATAACTCGGGTTCTTTTATTAACTGAACTGAACTAACAGACTCAGACTTTTAGAACAAACTAAGAGTCAGATCAGCAGAAACAAGTTGGGTGGATCTGCAGGACAGACAGATGAAGGATGGAGACGTGTCTTTGATGACACTGGAACATACGAGTGTCATGTCGTCATGAGAGGAACAAACATAAGGTAGAGAGCTATACTAGTTGATGACCCCATCAACATCATTGAGTGTTTGTGGATGTAGGTGGAATTTAACAGTTAGAGAGCAAACAGTGTTTATGTCTGAAATACATATTAGCGTCGTTTACGAGTTGATATCTCTCAAAGAAATCATTACTACCTTTACCGCCCTAATAATGACGTCACTCTAACGCGACTTCCTTAAGATATCAAAAGTGTGGCGTTTGAACGAGTGGCTGAAAAACAAATGTTTCAGCTTTATTTAAACCTCAAATTTAATCTAATGTAGTCAGTTTTAAAAATCAGGTTTTGTTATTATCTGAAAATACCAACAGACTCAGACTTTTACAACAAACTAAGAGTCAGATCAGCAGAAACAAGAACACGGAAATGTTTCCTGTAACTGCGTCGCTCTGCTCGACTTTGCTGATTGTCGGTGTCTTCGTGTTTGTCTCTGCAGGTGAGGTTTATAAACCAAACAGTGTTTCCCTCTGAGATGAAGAGGAATAAACTTCAGTCTGGTTTACAAGTTACTTCCCAAACAATTAGTTTCTGAGCGTCTGTTTGCGTAAAGGCATCACGAGGTCTGGTGGTGTCTGTGGATTTACCTGCTTGGTCAGCGGTGTTGTTTCCAGCACAGAGACTAAGTATGTGATGTGTTGTAGTTTCAGGAGTCAGTATACAGCCAGAGGCCGATCTACAGAGGTGGCATGTTTCACCCTAAAATGATCTCTTGCCACCTCTAGTGCCACAGTAGTTTTATATATGACATTGCTGTTTATTAAGGTGTGGCAACAGATTATATTAGGGTGGCACATGCCTCTCTATGCCACCTCTGCAGATCTGCCCCTGAGTTTTAAATGGTTGTACAAAGAAATGTCAGAATCATTGTTTGCATTGTAAGGCACATTACACAATGTTACACCTGCGATATGTGTAAAGAAATGGCTTTGATTTTACGTTTGATTTTGCCACCCTAAGAACATTTCATTACATCCAGCCCTGTATGCAGATACAAAGCTTTTTGTTCAGTGTATACAAACAGCTGTAGCTCCATAAAGGCAGCAGAGACTCACAGTGTCTTATAATGAGAGGCTGCTTTCTCTCACACATTATGTTCACTTATTATCAGCACATTGTATAAGTGTTTATATAACAGATTCTTACATTCATCTTATTTATTTTATATAATGCTACAAGCAGTGATTGTGTTTCTCACTGTCTCACAGTTGTACTTTGACATTTAACCTCTACTCTGTGTTTCCTCTTTCAGACCACAAAAAGATCACAGCTCAGTCTGGACAGAACATCACTCTGACATGTCGAGCTCCAAACAACAACATCAGAGCTGTAAAGTGGAGCAGAGATGACCTGGGAGATGAATATGTGCTTTTGTACCGGGATGAGCTGTTTGATCCAGAAAACCAGCATCCATCTTTTAAGAACCGGGTGGATCTGCAGATGAAGGATGGAGACGTGTCTTTGATTCTGAAGGATGTGACGATTAATGATGCTGGAACATACGAGTGTCGTGTCTTCACGAGAGGAACAAACATGAAAGCTAACCTGGTGATCGTCACACTGAGTGTTGTTGTTCCTCCAGGTGAGTGAGTAGAATTTTGTGTGTGTGTGATCAGAGGTAAAGCTGCTTCTTTGATGTTTGTTTCTAAATATGTTAGCAGGAAAACAGTAAATATCTCTGAGAAAGAGAAGTAGTCTGGTTTACACATCGTTAATATCTCTCATTACAGTCATTACATTTCGCCGCCTTAGTTATTACGCACTTATTTATGTCATACAGGCCCACCTACCATACGTCACTCTGATGCGACTAGGAGACATCGAAAGTGTGGAGTTTGAACGAGTGGCTGAAATTCAAGTCTCTCAGCTTTATTTAATCCTCAAAGTTAACCTCATGCAGTTTTAACTCGGGTTCTGTTATTCACTTAAAATACCAAGAAACTCGGACTAGAAAAAAACTAAAGTGTCGGATCAGCAGAAACAGAGAACCCGGAAATGTCTGCGTCGCTCTGCCTTTGCTCGACTTTGCTGTTTGTCGGTGTCTTTGTGTTCGTCTCTGCAGGTGAGGTTTATAAACCAAAGAGTGTTTACATGTTACTCCCAAAACAATTAGTTTCATATCGAATCAGTTTGTTTGTGTGAAAATGTCACGAGTTTAGGTGAAGTAACGTGAATTTGACCGCTTGCACAGCGGTGCTGTTTCCAGCACAGAGCATGTGTGTGTGAGTGTGATGTGTTGTAGTTTCAGGAGTCAGGGACGTATCTACAGAGGTGGCATGGAGTGGCGTGTGCCACACAAAAATAATTCTCTTGCCACACCTTGTGCCACCGTAGTTTTGTAAATGACAATGTTGTTTATTAAAATAAGCTAGTATCAACACTTTGAACCTGGGTGCCACCTCTGTTGATCCACCTGAGTTTGCATTGGCATTTTAAGGCATATTACACAATGTTACACCTGCATATGTGTAAAGAAATGCCTTTGATTTTGCCAGCCCATGTGACTTTCCATGCAACCCTAAGAACATTTCTCTAGATCCAGCCCTGTTCTGCTACAAAGCTTTTTGTTCAGTGTATACAAACAGCTGTAGCTCCATAAAGGCAGCATGCAGAGACTCACAGTGTCTTATAATGAGAGGCTGCTTCCTCTCACACATTATGTTCACTTATTATCACCACATGTCTCACTGTATAAATGTTTATATAACACTGATTCTTACATCCATCTTATTTATTTGCTACAAGCAGTCAGTGTGTTTTGTTCTTATTCTGATTGGCTGCCGTCGACGTGAACAGTTGTACTTTGACCTTTAACCTCCCTGCTCTGTGTCGTTTCCTCTTTCAGACCAGAAAATCATCACAGCTAAGCCTGGACAGAAGAGCGTCACTCTTCCATGTCGAGCTCCAAACAACAGCAGCAGCATCTCAGTTGTAGAGTGGAGCAGAACTGACCTGCAAGATGAATACGTCCTTTTGTATCGGGATGACCTGTTTGATCCAACCAACCAGGATCCATCTTTTAAGAACCGGGTGGATCTGCAGGACAGACAGATGAAGGATGGAGACGTGTCTTTGATTTTAAAGGATGTGACGATTAATGATAATGGGACATATGTGTGTCAGGTCTTCATGGGAGGAACAAACGTGAGGAAGAGAGCAAATCCGAAGACTGATCCCATCAGCATCATCGACCTCAGAGTCGTTCCTCCAGGTGAGTGAGTAGAGTTGAGTGTGTGTGTGATCAGAGGTGAAGCTGCTTCCTGGTTGTTGATGTTTGTTTGTAAAGATGTTGTTGATGAGACTTTGTAGAAAGCAGCTGGTCTGAGTGATGTGATCAGAGTGCAGTAGATAATGTCTGACAGCAGTTTGAAGAGGAAATGGATTCTGTTCTGTTCTTCACTCATCACCTACCTGACAGCTGACACCTCACACCTGTTTCTCACCTGCAGGAGGACCTGTTGGACTGATCGTCGGTCTGAGTGTTACTGCTGTTGCTGCTGTTGCTGCTGTTGTTGGTTTTCTGGTCTACAGAAAATGTAAACAACAGAACCGAGATTTTAACTAACATCCTGATGAACATCAGCAAGTTTGAAATGTCCCAGAGCTTCTTACATGGTGAAGCTGGGTAAGAGAAGCCTACATTACTAAGGCAAAAACACAGGACTGACTGACTGACTGAAGAAACATAAACACCAGAGTCCAAGTGAAAAACCAGAAGTTTGCTTCATTCCAAAAATTCCACGGAAGATACAACATTTAAATAAAACGTTATATCTTCTGTCCTTTCTGCAAGTAAGAAGGAATAAAAAAGATAATGAAACAATTATTAAAAATTGCGGGTTAAAATAAATAATGTTCTCCAGCACCTTTGGGATGAAATTAGACCCAAAATGATCCAGGAAGGATCAAAGACATTTTTTTAACATCAGGCTTAGAGAAGATACTGAATAATGTTGGAAGAAGTGTTGAATCCTTCACCATAACTGTATTTTTATGTTTGTTTGTTTGTTTGTTTTGGTTTTTTACATCTATTGTAATGTAATGCAACACTGAACATTTTTTGCTTATGATGTATTGGAGAATTGTAAATTGCTATTGATATGATTATTATTATTGTTATTATCGCAGCTGGATCTAGTGTAGGAGCTAGTAGCTAGTCTGGAGCTAGTCTATTGGTAAGACTACACACCTTTGGAGCAGGAGTCCCACCCTGTATCCAATAAGGGTCCTGGCTAGACCCCCCCATGCTAAAACAATGGCACAGCTATGTCAGCAGCCAATCCGCAGCTCGGACACAAGCATTTTACTACATGTTGTACTGTGTATGTGACAAATAGAGTTTGAATTTACATTTGATTGTATGTTTGGTCTCAGGCAGCTAAATGAGTTTGAAGGGAAAAATGAATATCTGTTAACATGTTATACTCTTTACATTTCTGTGGGACAGACATGAGTTTCCATTTTCAAAACAAAATTAAGACATCTTCAGATAAGTACAAATATATTTCATTGTTTTCCTTAACAACATATTCTATTTCTCATTGAACTTGTTTGAAGCTAAATTTCATTTCAATTGACATCAGGAATTTACTTTATTAATGGTTTGTTTCCCCGCAGTATTCATGAGTTCAGTGCCCAGTATGTTACAGGTTCAACCTCTGTTTGTAAAGTCAGACTTCTTCTGTGAGGTTTGACTGATCCTCATGTGCAGATCAGCTGTTACATAATTACAGACACTAACTGATCAATAATCAGTCTGATGGCAACTATAACTGAATGAATGTTCTGACAGTGTCATGAAACCAAAGATGAAATGATTTCTGTAAGTCAGATGTTTCCTCTGATCTCTGAAGATTTATTGAACTTTTAATCCCATGAACACTCGTGTTGTTTGTTCTGTGGTTGTTACTTCAGTGGAAATATTCCAAGAGCTAATACATTTTTTATATAAAATAGTACTGTATAGTTGTTTTGACTCCATTCATGTGTTTTCTGTGGCTGTAAAAGTTTTTTTTGATATCTCTTTTATCTCTGTGTTGACATAATTGATGCAGATTTTATCTTAGTCGGTCCAAATAGATCATAAAAACAAGAATATCACTCAAATAATCCTGAAGTTGTTTAATTGCATCTAAGGTCCCGTCAGAAGAACAGTAAGTGTTTTAAAATACATATTTGATCATTTTCTACAGTTCTTTGTGGCTTTACAGCTACAGCTAAATGCTGCCTCCTCCACAGTACACAATATACATTTTATACAGTGACATCATTTTGATGTCAGCACTACTGCCTCACAGCAGGAAGATCCTGAACTTAAATTGACCATGGGGCCTGTCTGTGCGGAGGTCTATGTTCTCCCTGTGTTTGTGTGGGTTCTCTCCAGGTACTCCAGTTTCCTTCCACAGTCCAAAGACATAGACAGTTAGTGGGGCCGTAGGTGTGAATATGAGTGTGCTTCATTGTAGCTCTGCAGTAGACAGGTGACCTGTTTTGGGTGTGACAGTTCCATTTCATTTAAGTGAACATACGTTTATTATGCAAATATTATGCAAATGGTCAGTGTGATATTCCTGCACTATCATCACTGATGATCTGCTTGTATCCATGTTAGTGTTTAAAGTCCAACATCTCCCTCTAGTGGCCATATATAAACCATGTGTGAGGATGGTGTTAATGTAAAATGTGAATCATAGTGTTCCAGTCAGTCATCAGTGTGTCTCTGCACAGCTG